AAAAAAATAGTTTAAGTTCACACAGTTCATTTTGTGCAGGAAAAATAAAATGATTCCACATTACATTATGTTATTTTTTGGGGGTTAAAATCAAAATGGGTGTAAATGACCATATGAAACTCTGAGGGTCAATGCCTGTGAGCTAACTGCTGTTTCTGCTATCTTTACTAATTCCTCAACATTACATCCTTAGATTTTGTACATTGCCCTGAGATGATGTTTGTTGTTTCTTCCTCCATCATCTGCCTCCTGCATTTGCAGACATCTGCCAGCCTGGACCTTGAATTGGGCCAGTCAGATACTAAATTCCTGGGCCACTTTTTTTTCCCCCAGTCCTCCCCTGCATGACAACAATAAATGATCTTCTTCTTCAAACAAGAATTGGACAATATTCCCCTTTAAATGCAACAGCTGGTCTCCTCAGTTCTTGGATGTTTACACTGTTGTTAAGAAGAAAAGTTACTTTTAGAGGTGTTTTTGGTCATGTTGTCCTACGTTTTTTAAGATGTGTAGTTGTCACAAAACTCTTAATTACCTCTTTGAAGTGTCAGATTTCTTTCAGTTTCAACATTTGATGTTTATCAAACTCTGTGAATAAAATATGGGCTTAGAATATTTATAAATTGTTGCATTCTGTTTTTATTTTACACGTCATATACTGTATTTTAAATTTCCTGAATTTTTATTTCAGTAATTTTTAACCTTTCCATTCACATTCAAAAGCACACGCACACACACACACACACACACACTGAAAACAAGACATTTAATAATCTTTGAATCCCTGCCTATAAGCACAGAAGGTATTGACCAAAGAAAGATATAAGATATATAAGACACAAGTTTTTATTCAGAACTGATATTGTAGGCCTATCATATACGGTCATGAATGCATATTAGAGTGAGTGATGTCACATATATTTATTTAAACTTATTGTAAAGATAAAATGCACCTCATAAACATGTATCATAAATGTTTTTATTTAGATGTTCTGGGGGGAAAACKGTCTCCTGATCAGTATAATTACAGCGTAGAGGTTTGAAAAGGAGAATTAATTAGAATCCTTGACGTAAACAAAACAGATGAGAGACTCTGGGGGAGTAGGAAAGGAGACAAGGACGCTTCTGCTCCGGTTTGGGACGCAGCCCTCCTTCAATCCGTTCACCTCCATTCACAGTAAATAGAAGCATGGAGGCTTTGACTCTCGGGATCTAGCGTCGAACAGCGGGGGGTAAAGAACCGCCGCCTGCGCTCCTGCCTGAACCAAAACACAGGAGGACGAGCAGGACGAAAACAAACGCCCTGTCATTTATATTTAACTCGTTTTTGTCTTCAAACCGAGAGGACTGTGGTCGGGGATCGGAGCATGAAGCGGATGGCCGTGGTGGTGGCCAGGCACAATGGCCTCGTCTCTCCTTTGGGGAACAACAATTCCGGGGCTTCCAGCATCGTCCCCCCGCCCCAAACCCGAGCCACCAACGGCTCCGGGTCCGCCGAGGCTCCGGCGGCCGGCGGGATGGACGGCCTGCTGGATTTCTCCAAAGGCCCCGCCGTCAAAACCGAACTGGTGTGCAAATGGACCGAGCGAAGTTCGTCGAAGCCGCGGCTCGGGCGGACGGCGACGTCCGTCTGCGAGCAAACTTTCAGCTCCATGCCCGAGCTCGTGGACCACGTCACCAGCGAGCACGTAGCGGCGGGGCTCGAGAGCCTCAGTCACGTCTGCATGTGGGACGAGTGTCTGCGCGGCGGGAAGGCGTTCAAAGCTAAATATAAACTCATCAACCACATCCGCGTGCACACCGGGGAGAAGCCGTTCTCGTGCGCGTTTCCCAACTGCGGCAAGATGTTCGCACGCTCCGAGAACCTGAAGATCCACACGCGCACGCACACTGGTAGGTCTCCTTCATTCTGTCACCGACACACACACACACACACACACACACACACACACACACACAC